TTCTTCTGATTTCTGGAATGGTGTGATAGGTAGTAAATTTTATTCTTAGGTTTTATTCAAGTGTTGGTTCCTCGTATACTGTCAAATAGTACATACGGCTAGTGCTAGAGTGATCCTTAGTGTGGCTCAGCACAGCCATGAAAATACTTCTATACTTACTCATAATCATCATACCCCATATAACTAAACCATGAAAGCAAAGAACAACAAAGTCTATAATGCCTCCACTAAGTGTATTTTGTAGAAGAATGATGTATGGCTGACAAAAAAGCTAGCTCAGGAAAAGTATGTGGGACTGGTAAAGGGCTTGTTTGTCTAAGTAGGAACAGAGACATCTGAATAAAGATTAATCTCTAGGGGAGTGAAACCTATGGGAGAACAAGTGAGGAACAGAAAAGAAAGCACAGTGGAGCTTATAGATCGAGATATCTTGGCCATGGTGAGATACAGGTCATGGGATAAGCAACCACAGATATGAGAAGAACTGGAAAAGTACAGCACATGCAGATATTAACATTTTTGAAACTATGTAGTTTTGTAAGGCAGCCAAGTAATACAAACAATAGGCTGATTCTCTAACTAGTGGGAAATTTCTTGCTCAAGGATATGACTGCTAAGAGCTGTAACTGCTTGGAGCTGCAAAAGTATATAAAACTAAACTGTGAAAAAAATAAACATCTTCAATGACTTCGACTTCAACTTCTTTTTACTTAAACTTCAAGTTCTTTTTGATTTAACTTTTTACTTAGACTATTTTTTACACCCCTCCTTTCAAATCCCACCCCTCAGTCACGCAGACCTGGGTAACTCACAGCATCACTGTCAGTGATGATCCACAATAGGTTAAGAACACTCTTATGAAGATTTATAAAGCAACACTCCCTAAGGAAATTTAATATCTTCACAGGCAGATCGTTTATGCTTTGAACACACTGTAAACAACATGATTTGATGCAATTCATCCATGACGTATAGAGCATGTAACTTGGGACCAGGAGCTGCCCTCCCTGCTGGAGGCAGACAGCTTCAATGGATCTACTACAGGACAGTGCTGAGCTCCTCAGACAAGATTGTGATGCCCCTGGGAAATCATAGTTACAAAATGGCAAAATGCCACTTCAGCTTCCCCTGCAGGTGGTGCAGACATCACAAAGGAGCAGACATTTAAGCATGTAGTTAAATCTATGCTGGAGTGGGTTTACCCTGAAAACTGCAGTCCATAAACAGGATCCACTATGGAGCAGAGGAGATTTTGGAAGAGGAAGAAGCTGGTACAGGGTGACTACAACCCACTTCTTCATCTTTCCACACCAGTCAAAGGATAATAGATAGAGAAGTTAGGAATGGATGTGTTAAGATGAGCTTGAAAAGGAAAAGGAACAGGTAAGTATGATCTTTTGATTTTTGTATTTGTTTTGCACCATTCAAATCTATTTTAACTGGTAAATATCAACTAAGTTTCCCTAAGTTGAGTCTGTTTTGCATGTGAAGGTGATTAGCAAGTGATCTCCTTGTCTTTATCCTCAGCCATCTGCTTTTTCATCTAATTTTGTCCCCCTGACCTATTGAGAAGGGGGAGTGAGAGAGTGTCTGGAGGGGAGTTTTACCTTCTATCAAGTCAACCCACCACAGGTAGGAAGTCACAGCTCTTATGTCATTACCAGAGCAGAGGGACACATTGCTAGGCTGGTGTCTATTCAGGGAGCTGCCCACCTCTAAATGAGACTGGTGCAAATATAAAACCTTTCATACATGATTAAACTGCTTGGCCATGTGATTTCTGTTGAAGATTTTACAAGTAATCTTACCCTTGTTCTTGGACTCTTAACTGCAGAGTGACAAGGACTAAAGCCAGGGAATCTCAGAAAAATGGAAAGCTGGACAAGACAAACGCAGGTTCAAACCAATGTGGTTAATCAAGCGTTTTCTGTTTATTCAAGATAAGGTGGTAGTTTATATAAGCTTCCACATAGTTTACAGAAACAAAGACACTCTAATTGGTAGGCTAACATTGTTTACCTTTTCCTTAAAACGGCCTACACTTTACACCATAAAACCTATACTAATTCACACCCAGACAATCCAGTGGTCCCCACAACACCTTAAGACTATTTTCTATCTGCGCCACAAGCTCTGAATTTCTAACTGCGTCAGAGGCTTTGAAGGCCCCACCAGGCCTCAATCTGAGGCCTAGACTGGAGTAGCTCAACTTTCACAATTCATGTCCTCTTTCTCTCAAAAATGCTGCAACAAAGGACAGTCTTTCACTGCAGCTGAATTCAGCTGCTGAAAGGTCCTGTTTACCATGTACACACTTCTGTCTTTTCCCTTGCAACACTGAGCCCCCAGGATGAGTTGGCTGACACATTCCCTTGATAGAAAATTAATCCTCTCTTCCCTCACACATGCTGAGAACTGTACTTTCTGCCATCAGTGAGCTGAACCAACTCATCCTTCTGGGAAGATGCATAAAGATAGATGATATAGGGGATGAGGAGGAAAAAAGACTAGGCAACATGTCAAAGTTATATCAGATTATGTATGAAAGGAAAATGTACCTTGGTAAAAGCCTGGAAAAATGCTTGGTTAACTTGCAATTGAATATTTTCTTTTTTTTTTTCTATCCTTCAAAATTTGTGTCTATGTGATATTTCTGTTTTTCACATCCATTTGGAATGGAAATCTATCTGTAAATGACATAAAAAAACAAACATCATTTGCTGTCTAAGGGCAGTAGTGAAACCACATTTTTCTATTCCTGCAGTTACACTTAGATTAATTTTGCTTATTTATATCTCTTTTAGGCTTAATATTGCAGTAAGTACACAGGCATACTTTTGCATCTCCAAGTGGGGAGAAGAGTTACATCTGTTTGTAGCAGGTACTAACTGGAATAAAACAGCCTGTGGGATCCACTCTCATTGTTAGAAATATGGGATGGCCTCAGTGCTTCCAGATTCCTTAGTACATGGCAAACACTAAATGATGTGATCAGTGGCAGTTTTAATTGAAATGGAGTTAACTCCAGGAAAAAAAGCAGTATTTTCATCCAAAGCAATATAGTAATAGTGAATTTCATAATTTAAGAAAATTAACCATTTATCTAGTTCATTTATGACCAGATTTTCTTCAAAATAACTTTCTGAATCTAATATAATTTACTCTTATATAAATAAGATTGATATATCAAATAAATATTGACGCTTAGTAAAATTTTGTTGATGCTTCCAATAATAAGAGTACTAAGAGAAAATAAATTAAAAAAATTGTCAGTTCCAAAAGCTGCTGATATAACTAATCTGTTAGACATGCATATCAACATTGATTTAAAGTAAAACTTAAAATTTAAAAAGGAGGCTGATGATAAAACACCTTTTTGTGTGCCAACATTTTCTAGAAGAAACACTATCCTGAAATTTAAAATTAGGGGCCCTGGTTTTTAGCTGGAGTTTCATTTATGCCTGTGGAAGGGCATTGACTGTGAGAATACCAAAGCTTCTTGGATTAATAAAAGGCTCTAACTGGAATGACCATGGCTACTACATCTTTTAAAGTGGTGGGGTTTTCTAAGGATCAGGAAAATATTGGTTTTCTCAAAAGAGTAAAACATTCATTTATCAGGGAGGCTAGAAGAAAAAGTTAAGATTCCTGATGTCATGCTGTCAACACCAGATCATCTAACACTGGTACACACCTTTTCTTATTTTGTAGGGAACAGACTGGGAGGTAGGAAATGTTGCCTTGGAGATTCTGTAAAGGAGGAAGAGGTGGAACTCACACATCATGCACATATGTTGCACCACCTGCTCTTTGTGTAAAAAAGAAGCTGCATAAGAACTGACATTTCTGGGAAATTATCTTTTTTGATTTCTTCATAAATAATCCTCTTAAGTGGAACATGCTGTGCCAAATCAAATATTTGCACTTCTCTTCTTCATATCTCTTTTTTTTTTTTTTTTTTTTTTTTTTTTTTTTTTTGTGTGTGTGTGTGTGTGTATCACTAGAAAGCTGAATATGAATTTGGTTTCTTAAAAGTTAAATTTGGCTTTTGTTGAGGTCTGGAATACACCAAGAGACTCTGCAGCCACCAGCCTTGTCCCTTTCTGTGCTGTGGGAATTCCTGTGCCATTTCTTCCCTTAATCTTACTGATTTTTCCCTTTCTGATGTGATTTACAGGCTTTGACTTGGACCTCTTTTGTCCCTGTGGATTCACATGGGCACCACGGGGGTGTTACCCAAGTTTTCCTCCTCTGATGACTCCTACCAGACTGCACCCTTGCTGATAAGGACACCAGTTCCCCCTGCCTCGCTCTCACCATTAGCTTTAGCTTACATTTTGCTTCACGAAACTGCCCAGCCTTCCTGTGCACTCGTTTATGCTTGTTGTAATTTTGTTTTGTTTTATTTATTTACAATTATTATTATTCAGTAGAGAACTGCTCAGCTGAAGCTAAAAGGTCAATTTATGGAGATTGAGTTCTTCTTATTCCCAATTCAGCAACTTAGCAAAAAGCTTATTAGATGCTTAGTGAATAAAGTATTGCTCAGTGGGATGTTGATCTGCATTAAGTCTCTTATTAAAATCAGCTTTAGGGAAGAATGGAAAAACTTGCTATTTTTCAACAGAAAACCAAAACTCAGAAACATTTGCACTGCAAAAATCTTGAAAGTTTGGTAGCAATGTAAAAATATACAACGTAGGTGAAAATCCCCTACCAACATTGGATGATTTTTGAATAAATATAAATGGTTTTTACTCTTAAATTATAAGTGCTCCATTGAAGATAAGGTAACTGAAGTTTACTGTACAATGGGCATGAGCTGCACCAAGTCTAATGTTTTACCCCAAATATTCTGAAAGAAGGGATAATCATGATAAATAAAAACATTGTTTACTAAAAAGCAGTTGCCCTCCTATCACTGGTGATTATGATATGTGGGGGTTTCTCCAAGCATCAGTATAGAACAGTGCAATGACAAACTCAACTTTTTTTTTTTTTTTTTTTTTTTTTTTTCCAGAGAGATTCCTATAAATAAACATATTTACAATGATTGTGATTGTAGGACTGAGCTTTGGGATAAAACAGAGGATTTCAGCTCTTGCTTTATTTTATGCCAGCAGTTTGAAAAAGAAGCAGCTCAAAATCATTCTGACATACTGCTACTGAATGAGTATTCTGCCCATCTATGCTGTCGAGCTATCTAAAATTATAATAAATAAATAAATAAATAAATAAATAACAAAAAAACCCTTTTGATTTAAAAAGCAAGGAGTTCTTTAAGGGTTAGATGTTTGTGTGTTGAACAGGTCTTAAATACTTTCGGAGCAACAGGATGTTCACATGACCTCTTTTCATGAGGATGCACAAGACAAGCTAAATAAATGAACCTTGTGGGGCTTTAACAACATGATGCTACTACTCAGGGAATTCAGGTTAGCTAACATATGTTTCAAATCCAAAGAATATTCCATACAGCCACTACAGAACTTAAATCACAGCAGTATTCCTGACCTCAAGTAATTTGCCCAGCTCCTTGGCAAATGTGTCATAATGGCTGTGGCTGATGTTTCACACTTCGCGCTGTACATCAATAGAAATGCATATTCAGGGTTAGGCACTGGGTGGTGCTGAAGAGCTAGTTAGTAGGAAAATGTATTTGTGCGGCTCTTCAACTGACTAATATTCGCCTTTTCTTGCAGCCAATGGAACAGGATTTGCTCTTCAAAATAATTCTTCTGGATCCCTAGACCTAATCAGGTACCATGATTTAGTTTTCCTATTTGTAAAAGCGTACTGAGATGAAGTCTTAAGTTATATTTCTTTCTCTTATGTTTGAAGTTACAAATATAACTGAAGATACAAATATCCTGTAAGTAAAACATCCTTTTCATATTATCACTGAAGAGTTTCTGCAACCTGACATTGTCAAATTTGAAATAAAAGGTTTTGCAAAGTATTGTGTTTAATCTTAATGTGTCTTTGACACAGAATATGGAGGGATGATGTTGTTTCCTTTTTTTTTCTTAATTGATTTTACATAACACAAGTGCAATTAAACACTAGAGGAAAATAATGTGTTAGTTCACCATCACATCATAGTATTTTAACCACGGTAAATATACAGATTTCAAACACAGAGGCCAAGTAACAATAGGAAAAGAATTAACCTATTCAATATGTACCATTTAAAATGACTCTGCTTAGTTTGATTTCACTAAATAAATGACAATATTCTGCTTTTAAAGAAGACAGCATTCAATAGCAGCATTTGTAGATATTTACTCACTATCTGAACAGCTATTTATGCATATATAACAGAAATAAAATCATACTTATCTATTTCTATTAGGTTTCCAGGTTAAGAGCATTTTCTGTGTTTGCCTCAGGGTTAAATTATCTTCAGGATCTTCTCTTAATTTCATTTCTAAGTATAGGTGGTCTTTAGTGTACTGATATCAAAATTTTGGAGTTTAACTTCTGGTATCTGTTCAAAGCAAGATTTCTCAAAATATATGAATATTTTTATGACTTAGAAATCCATAACAAAAAAATATTACTACAAAATTCGTCTCTCCATAAACATCAAGAAGCCAAATTTTCAGCTGCAACAAGCTTCTTTAGCAGTCATCTATGTTCTGCTGTATCAAGTGCCCTCTACTCCCCAAGTGTATAAAATGTATTGAAAGGACTAAAATCTGTCTGATTCTTTAAAATATCTCACAACTTTAAGAAGCCTTTGTTTGTTAAAGATAGAACTGGAGTGAATATTATCTGATCTAATCATTTATCCCTAATTTAAATCTACCATAATGAAGACAACAATAAAACTAATGACTCCCACACTTGCTTTGCATCGCAAATGCTAGTGCTGAAATAGTCACCCTCACCAGGAGAATTGAAACTTGGCCCAAGGAAAAGACTTTTAACACAAATCTGCCATAGAACTGTGGGAAGCTGCAGCAGTAGCTCTCTATCCATGCATCCATATTAAGGAAAGCCTATGGATTGTACCAGTTATTAGAGTACTGCCACAGACACTAATAAAAAAAAAAAGATGCAAGTGAAGTTAAAAAAAAACCAGAAGAGTCAGAAGGAATACAATGAAAGCAAAAGTGGTAAACACTGAAATAAGTAAATAAAGAAATAAACATATTTCTCTTTCCAAACCACAATATATATATATGACAAACCAAAAAAAGTAAGACTTCCAAAAATATTTTTATCCAACTATGCACACTTATTACATTTGATGTATTTAAAGTTGCTTAATTCTCTCCACCACCTAATACTATGCCTTTTAATATGCAAACTATAAACTACAGTACTTTGAGGTAATTAGCTAATAAATCAAAATAATTCTCATTTATACCCATACTCCTGTGGTCTAGGGAGGTCATTTTAATATTCTGCAAATACTTTCAAGCAAACCCCAGGGAAAAATCAGGTAAAAAGCACTGTAAGCAGCTATTTTCCTGTAGCCATGTGCAGTGTTTATACTCTGCTGGTAAATACTGTAGGTTGATTTTATTGAGCCTTTTGAATATAGTGAGCATAAATGTGGCATGTACCACCATATGGTTTCTACACACGGACAGGCTGCAATTAATGCTGCAATCTATAATTTGTCCCTTACTTCTGTGATTATCTATGTCAAATGCTACATTTGCAGAATGTATCTGTGTATATATGTGTATGTGACTGTAAGCATAGCCACTTCGATGTCTAACTACTGGTTGTGCAGATTAAAGCCTATATGTAAGATATGATCAGGAGAAGAATGCAGAGGAAATATGTCAATAAAGTTGCAAAAATGCTGTGCTATAGTACTGTTATTTTTATTTCTTGGCTCTTAATGTTGACAACTACTGGAAAACCTGATAATGTTCCAGTTGAACAATCATGATTAAATTGCACACTACTGTCATATATATATAGTACATATATATAAAACCCTATAATATATATTCCACTCTATTATCATATATATATTTAGCATGTTTAAGACAATAGCCTAAATTCCTTAATTAAATCTTATGCTCTGATTCCAGCCATTGCATCTGCTGAAAAGCTTCTGAAGTAATAACTATATTTTTTAACAAAAATTGCATGAAACTTGCAACTGGAAAAATAAGGAACCTGTAGTATTTGTGATCTATGACTGGATAATTTGCAAAATAATTCTACAGCATCAGAACTGATTGTTTTGTCAAGTCATACTGAGATAAATATGTACACCCACTGAATAGTTTTGTCTCTCTCTTTCACCTTATTTAGAGCATGATTGAACAACTACTGTAAGCAAGAAAGCATTTTTCTCCCCTTTTCCCAGTAAAGGACACCCTGACCTTCAGTACAACAAAAATTAAGATAACTTAATTACAAATTTCTCTTTCATTACACTCTAAGTACAAAACCTTATTTTTTTTATCTCATTGGATAATAATTTTGCATATAGTCTTCATACAAAAATACCAGAAAAATCAGTTTGGCCAACAGAGAAATACCAGATATTAAAATGGTAGGCAACGAGACTTAGATCTTTGAATGAAAATTGTTTCAAAATAGCCTTTAATACTCACCAGTTATACTCAAATAAATATAAACAGAACTAGACAAGAGAAGTTTCATGTGATAAATTAGATTCTATTGTTTAAATGTAAATGCTTTTTTATGCTGTTGATCAACATGTATGTTGTATTTATATGTCATTAAACTTTCACATGGTACTGGTGAAATAAGTAGTTTGATTTTATCAGAGCAGTCGGTATCTGAAATCTTCTATATAATATCTTTTTTGAAAAAAATATACAGAACAGCAAATGCAGCATGGTATAATTGCATATATATGGGCTAAACTGTGATGAAAATTAAAATGTGTGTGAAGTGCTTTCTTCTCGGGAATATGTGAAGATAGGTAAAAGTAGGTTTAATAAATTCCATTTTTGGACTATATATTATTTAATAATGTGGCATGAACAGAGTTTCTAACAAAGATACAGGAATAAAATGTAAGACCTTGAGGAATGTTCTGTTTAACTTTGTTGTTTCAAATATTTTATGTCAAATGCAAACTTAGATTTTTTTTCCGTTAAGACATGAAAACATTGATTTTCAATGTTAATAGTAAAGAAATGTGCAACAAAACTGTGTTGGAAGTGTACTTGCAAAGTATGAAGGTTGCTAGTAACTGAAAAAAATACTAAAATGGTTTGTACTAGAATCCACCTTCAACATAACTCTTTTGGAGCTAATGAAGTTGTGTTGCATAGACCATTTTGTGTTTCCATAAGGCTGTTCTAAAATGATACACCTGCTTCAAATATGAAAACCAGTGTCAATAAGGAAAGAAATGGAGACATATTCACCACTGTCATATCTCCCCTGCCATCTGAGGAGAATTATGCTCATGTTTTTGTAAGATTACTAAAAAAGTTTTTAGAAGTAGATTGTAGAACAGTAGATTGTGGGTTAACTGAGCAGTAGTCAGGACAAATCCAAGCACAAGAATAATTGGGTATTCTCCTTTATGATCCAGCACTTCCCATATAATTTGACTTTGCTTAATTTAAAGACAAAAATTTCACTGGCAGTATGGTGCATTTGGACAGTTTTGTTCAAAGTCTTCATACAGCAAAGAATTAAACCCCCTTAATAAACCTGCACATACCATTCAGTTGCAGTGTTCCATTCATCCACTGAGTAAACATTCATAGGCTGGTGATTACCTTTTCCAAAACACTTTAAATTAATGCTAAAGGACAGTTTTAAAGGTAATTTAAGGGTGCAGTACTGGATAGTGCTTGAATCATACAAGAGAGGTTCACACTGTCTGTTTAATTGTCACTAAAAATTTAACCAAATATACTTTTGGTCAATAAATTGCAATTGGTTTTAATTCCTATTGGTTTGTTTCCTATGTATTGTATTTTTTAATTTCACAATCTAGATATCACTGATTGAATAAAGTAATAAAATTGTATATCCATAAAAACCTAGGTCTCTATCAGTGTCTTAGGTAACAAAAATATAAATCCATGCTCTCTTGCAGCAACAATTTGGTTTGATGACTAAGTAAATAATGTTTAAATCTAAAAAGAAATATCAGGGTTGATAGATTCTATCAATTGTTTGGGAAGAGTAATGTGCAAATGATTAACATTGTCAATAGTTTTGAGAATCCTGTGTTATAATTTCCCTAGCAATGTTGGACTAATATGTAAACAGAGAAAAATAAAGATCTAGACTCCCAACCTTCCATATCAACTAAAATTATCAGGTTTTTTTTAATCAAAAAGCTGATGAAACCTGATGCAATAACTGAAGCATAATCCAGTTGGTCTGCAGGGCACCTGGAGCATGGCCTCCTGGGGACACATGCCAGCAACCCTCATAGCAACAAAACACTTGCACCAAGGCCTTCAGTTATGGGCATGGTCAAAAACACACCTCAGGATTGCAAACTTTCCTTTCTAAATATATCTCTTCACTGAGGAGTTAGTCTTTTGGAGAAATTCCATTGATACTCCTTCTGCAGGAGCAAAAAAAGAAAAAGCAAGAACAAAGAAATCTTCACTTGCCATTTACGGGAGCCAAGGCTTCACAGTAGTCCAGGCTTAGAGATTGTTGTTTCCTATGACAGCAGAAAATACCCAGGAAAGAAGAAAACCCTTGTACAAAGTATCAAGTTGATTTATTGCAAATCAACAGAGAAAGCAGGAAATAACTCATTTTCAGCTGTTTCAGGGAATCAATCTGCC